ATCTGAAATATTTGAAACAATCCGGCGTTGCCGCTTCTACTCGAAAGTAGCAGTAACTGGATGCTTCCTGAAGAGCTGATTTAATCGATTCACAAAGTTCGGGGTCTAGTGGGACTAATAACTGAGATATTCAGAGTGAAGAAATCGAGATGTTTCAACTTTAGAATTATTTTGCGAAAATATTTATTATCGATCAAAACGGCTTTTATGTCTCTATCTTAACTTTGTATGTATTGACAATTAAACAAATACAAGATGGTTCATAATTCAGATTTCTGCACCACCCTGTATCTGTTTCAATTGAATATCGAATGGAAAGTTGAGATAGGGCCATTGAAGCCGTTTTGACCATGCAATAATAAATAGTTTCAACACAAAACATTTCTAAAGTTGAAACATCTCGATTTTCCACATCCTATATCTGTTATCAGTCCCGCTAGATCTTGAATGTTTTGAATCGATGAATTCTGCTGTTCAGCAAGAATCCAAGAATGTAATGAAATACAGGGTGTCCCATTTGAAAAATCGAAGTTGCTGCTACTTTCTCGTAGAAGCGGCAAGGCCGGATCGTTTCAAATATTTCAGTAGTTTAGATTATGTTAATTTATACATACCATCGAAATTTCAGATTTATCCGTTGCCTGGTTTACCGAAAACGTCAAATTAACGCTCATCGTGAAAAGCCCTGTATAGTTTTGATGACGGACCTGCAACTGAGTCTGGAACAAAGAACGATATGAAATACTCCTTCTAAATGTAATACTCAAGTATACTGAATAGGAAGAAATAAAATTAATAAATCTCGTCTGATTCCAATTTTGTACCCCAAAATGAGCAAAGATAATATTTTGAGCACATAATATGAATAGTTTAAATCGTCTGTGCACGAATGAAAAGCACATCGTTGGATATAAATTTTGATATTTTTTTCAGATATGGCAAAAAAATGAGAAATTCGAATGTATAGGGTGTTGTTTTCTGGCAGAAAGAATTTGTGAATTTTAAGTGAAGCCGGACCTGGATTTTATCTTTTGTTGTTGCCTCAATCAATTCCACAGGGTAGATTGAGCAAGTGTACCAATTTTTAAAAATATATACAGGTTGGTTGGAAAGTTATGAGACAATGAAGATATGGACAAAATTGATGAAACATCCTGTATCTCGGTTATAAGAAGTCGAAGACCCATCAACCATGGGTTTTTTCAAATCACCTCAGTGACCTCTATCCACAGTTGAATTATTTACCTTTCCCAATGAAACACCCTGTATATTCCATATCATAGAGCCTGTTTTGAGAAGGGGCTCTATACTCCTTCCTGTATAAAATTCTTTAATCATTTACTCACACATATGGGCCACCCTGTATATATATATATCCATTTTTTGATGTTAATAATTTATTTGAGAATATTCCACTTCAATATAGTTATTTATTATACAAGGGAAAAAGTAGTAGATTTTAGCTCCAGGTTTTGTTGTCTCCCGACGCGTAGCGAAAGGGGAAAAACAAACGTGAGCTAAAATCAATATTTTTCCCGTGTATAATACACAATTTTTTTCTGTGACAGAAGAAAGGACGAATCAATATTGAGAAGATATTACATTATTATGAAATCTGAAAATTATCGACGTGAAATTTTAAGTTTTTAAAAGTAGGGACACCTGGATTGTAGGCATCTTCATCATTCTTTCGAAGTAATCAAATATCTGATGTCACTTTTGTCAGTTTAATTCTGTGATTTGATTTAAAAAAATTGCGAATCAAGTGGTTGTTTAGTAATATACGTAAACGCGAAGTCGAATGGAAGAAAGGACTTGCAGTTCTTTCCCGGAGACGGTATTATTGACTCATTTTTCGGAACTATAGCACAACAAAAGCCATCAACAGTGTATGTATATGTGATATATATCCGGGAAAGAAGTACTCACTTTTTTCCCACGGGAAAAAAGTAATTTTTGAAAAGTGACATTTTATTACCTGCCAACAGAGATGAAATGCCAAACTTTTTTCCCGTCACAGAAAAATAGTTATTGATTATACAAGGGAAAAAAGTAGTAGATTTTAGCTCCAAAAAACCGTGAGCTAAAATCTAATATTTTTCCCGTGTATAATACACTATTTTTTTCTGTGACAGAAGAAAGGACGAATCAATATTGAGAAGATATTACATTATTCTGAAATCTGAAAATAATCGACGTGAAATTTCAAGTTTTTAACAGTAGGGACACCTGCGTTGTTGGCATCTTCATCATTCTTTTGAAGTAATCAAATATCTGATGTCACTTCTGTCAGTCTAATTCTGTGATTTGATTTCAAAAAATTGCGGATTCAGTGGTTGTTTAGTAATATACGTAACCGAAGTCGAATGGAAGATAAAAGGACTTGCAGTTCTTTCTCGGAGACGGTATTATTGACTTATTTTTCGGAACTATAGCATAACATAAGCCATCAACAGTGTATAAAAATGTGATTTATATCTGGGAAAAAAGTACTCACTTTTTTCCCACGGGAAAAAAGTAGTTTATGAAAAGTGACATTTTATGACCTGCCAACAGAGATGAAATGCCAAACTTTTTTCCGTCACAGAATTATTTTTTTCATTTCCGTCGTATGGGGATAATGATGAATCAACCCTAAAAATCGAACAAAAGCAATGGCTCCGTTCACTATCTTACGTTAACCTCCATCATATTCAACATTCGACATCGAGCAAATTTTTGATTTCGCTGAAAAATTTCTTGCGAACCTGTCAGTGTTTCTCCACTGCCACTATCATCTATCTGAGAGATAAAGTGAACTATAATTTCGAATATCACCACTATGAAACGATACCTAGAAGAGATTTCCACATTCCCCAGTTCCAAAAAAGATTCATGCAAAACTCGATATTAATTGCCAACTGCAATAAAAAGTGCACACTCTCTCAATTGTTTTAAAATCACTCTGAAAAAACATTTGTTGGAGGGAAGTAATCTCTAATGTGAATGATTGACTTTATTTTATTTTTATTGTACAGTATGTATGTAGTAATGTTGTTTGACATATTTATGTGTTTTATGTACAATGTATTAGTTTTTATGACTAAATAAACGGATATATATATCTATGGCCGTTCCTCTGGCGCCGACTCTCGCGACATCAACCCCAGTTTTCGCTCAACGGACGCGGCGGGGCGCGACCCGACACGACATTTCGATTACCGACCGCCGAGTCTCGGGGCAGTAAACAAGTCGGCGGCCCTGCAGGACCATCAGTTCGCCGGCCCCTGTGCAGCCCTATTTCCGCTTATTAAAACAATTATCACGCGAATAGCGCCGTTGCAATTGCTCGCATTCCATTCGACGCCACGCGAAGACAATATATCGATTATCTGATATCGGCATTTTCTTTTATCAACACGTTTATATTAGCTTCACCTGTATGTTTTTTTATGTTCTGGTTCCCTAGAAAAGGGATATCCTGTACTGTTCAGAGAACATCGTGAGAACCAAGGAAAATAAGCAAGGAATTGGTGTTCTAGAATTTCTGGAGGTTATATGCCTCGGGGAACACCTCCCTTGGCAATGTGTTCCAGAGCCTCGCTGTTCCTTGGATGAACGAGTCTTTGGAAAGAGATGTTCTACAGGTCTCCAAAGTGACCACGAAGGGGTGCGAAGCCTCAACTCCACGGGTTCATCTCGCGGGGACAGCCAAGGAAGGAACAATTGTTGATATTTCAGAAGAGCATCGTCCATGAAAATATCTATAGAATAGAGCCAGATCGCCAACTTTTCTACGGTGTTCCAGAGAAGTGAGTGAGTTTGTGAGCGAGGCATCACCCACGCGACGAATTGCCCTTTTTTGGACAGAATCTAACAGTTTCAGGGTATGTTTGGATGATGCACTATCCAAATATGGAAACAGTATTTCAGGATAGGTCGGATCTGTGTGTAGATCATAAGCAGCTGACTGGAAGTGAAATAGCTCCTGGCCCGAAACAGAAAACCAAGTGTTTGGGATGCACTTTTAGCATTTGATCTCACGTGATTTCCCCAAGAAAGGTTATTGCTGATAATGAAATATGCATTCAAGCAAGCACTAAGCTCGGACGTTCCCCTTTCTTCACATTTTTTAATTGGACATTCCGCGTTTTTTCCATGTGAACGTATTTTTGAACTAGCATATTATGGCTGACTACGCTGCGTTATTGCAATGGACTTCTATTTGTACTAAAATATAGTGGTTAGGCGGTGTCAAGTCAATCTCCACTATATGGTGACATTCCCCCTTCTTCCCCTGTGGTCTTCAATTTCAAAACACAAACATTGCTGCGTCATTTGAAATGGTGTCAGTTCATTGGTGTGACTAGTGTGACGTATACGTCACGGTTCCACCTCCATATCTGACTGTTTGAAATATCGAATGGAATATGCTGATTTCAAAACGCTATATATTAACTTGTAATATTGAATGTTCATTAAATGTGAATCATGATTCATGGACTGCAAGAGGTTTGGTCAGATTTCATCTCTCAGTGGTCTTCCTCATTGTCAGGGACGTTACATTTCTAATTTTTCGTTCTCTGTGTGTACATGCGTTCACGGTTTATAGTGATCGTATTGCGAGTGCAACGTTTTCCAGATTGACGAAAAGGAGTGATATCCGATTTATCGCCATTTTTGTATCTGTTCATTGGCCTAGAGGTGATCCTAGGTTATAGTGTTTATGGACAAACAAGGCGGACCATGTCACGTATTTGCCTGGACCCTGATTGCTTTCGACTTCGATCATATAAGACGTGACCGGCCAGTGGGGTGCTGGGGTGTGTTCCGTTTCCTAAGTTGGTTGTGGTTTGCCGTACCGTATATATACTGGTCACCTCATTTACCGGCTGAAAACTGGTTAATTACGGAAGACGATTCCTGAAAGATTGCTTACTCATATTATGTCATCAGAGAAATCAGTTGAAAATCATCGAAATCTCGGTAAGTATGACATCTGACAATAATTTGGGTGAAGTATGGAGTTGTATTGGATGGTTGGTAATGATGGAATGAAGAGAAACATGGCTGTACGTATGAAATGAGTAAATAATAATTGTGTGATGAAAAATCCTCCATATTCACGAAAATAAATGGAAAATGTATAACCTCTTACGTGTGAACAAAATTTTTGACAGGTGACAACACTCCTGCGTTCCGTATATAAACCGAATTATTCAGGCAACCCTGACTGTATATATACTGTATCATTCCCAAAAAGCTCATTTCATTCCATTAAAAAAGACATGGTGTTCCCCTTTGATGAACTGATAAAATATTGTAGAAGTGACAGAATCCATCAGTTTGTCTAGTTCTAATGTCGCAAAATACTATATTGCAGAATTCCTATTTTTATTACGCCATCGTGACAATGCATGCATGAAAATTCGTTTTGATATATTGAATGGATTGGAATCAGACACAGAATCGCATTGTTATTGAAAGTTAGATGAAAATACTTCATTCAAGTTTTGAATTGGCTCGTAGTGTTTTCCTGAATACCTCATAATAAACTGGTCAATAGATGAAGGCAAGGTCTTTTGAAAAAACTTCATTACAGTTTTGAATTGGCTCATAGTGTTCTTTTTGAAAAACATCAAAATATACTGGTCAACAGTTGTAGACGTGGTCAAGAGTCTTTTGAAACTCAACAAGATGTAACCCAAATCGTAAAACTAGGTTACTTCTAAGGAATTGAAATTAAAAATCAGTTCGATATTATAAACTAGTCTGATAAGAGTATATTGAGTACAAAATGATAATATTTGCCGAAGGAAATGCGGAAGGAAATACATTTTTTGATCTCGGAAATGAAAGTGTGGTTGGTGTTTATTAGGTATCTGTGTTGTTACATCATAAATATATCTGGGAATGTTCCTTTTCAATACTTGCTGACAATTCTCCATTAATATTTTATTTTTTCATTTTCATCTTCATGATTTTTCTCATGGTTTGAACTTGTTGATGATGACACTGGTATGCTCATAACCCGGAATAATTTTCATTAGTGGAATATAATCCCACTGCAATACCATTCGTCCTAGCGGACAATTCCGTGAACAACAAAGCGACAGAATTATCTCGAATATTCAGAACACACTGATAGCACTGTTGGACCTTGGCTATGACTGCTTCTTCTGGAAACATGCGTCATAAAAATCATCACTATTGTCAGTTGCAGCAAATGGAACGTAACTGGAAACGCAGACCATAACGACATAATACCATCACACAAAAAGCCAATTTAGGCTAATAGGCGTTAGCAGGGTGCAGTTTCACCTTGCCGTAGGGGTCGGAATCCCCCCCATCCTCCCCCCCCCCGTGCGTTCGTGACCTTTTTTCTTCTTTCGGCTACCCGTTGTTTTTCTTTTGTGTCGGATAATATCTCCCCGAGGACAAAAGAGACACGAGTAGCCCGGTAAACAAAGGCAATGCGATATGTTATTCGCAGATTGAAACGTCCGTCAACTGTTCGTGTACCGAGCTGGTTGCTACCGGCTTGAACAAGAACAAAGGACGACCATCTTGCGGGTGAAATGGCAGGACACACGTGTGTTTTTCGTTGGCAGATCTGACTGGACGGTCTCTCCTCCATTCCATTTTTTTTTTCAAATTCGGATATTTGAATATTTCAAGTTATGGTCTTTTTCCATCGCATCTTAGTGTTAACACAATGATATATATATAGAATAGTTTTGAGCAAAGGCAAAAGTCAAAAGTGCATAGCACGAAAGACAAATCGCTCGAAATTGTAGAACTCCGCATATGCCGACACTGGCACAGCCTTAGTGTCTTTGGCAAAATGAACAAACATCGTTCTTTGCGTTTGAGAACTACTTCTTGAACCAACTAGATTGAATTAATATTCAAATTAGCTCTTAAACTTCGCCTAACTGATGAGATCCGGAAGGTCGAAAGCTCACACATTGCACCCTAAAATATCGTTGGGTTAAGGTGAAACCCGAATCCCTGTTTACTGTTTCGGATTCATTTGACAAGAGCAAAAGAACATTTGGGATTTCACAAATCTCCACCATCTATGAGGCGCGTTGGACCCTTTAGTTCAAAAGCAAAAGTCTGAGAAAGGCGCAAAAGTATTCTTTGGTTCTTTCCCAGACGAACCGAAGTGGAGACGAGCCACATACTTAACAGGTTTTCGAACCAAAGAATACTTTTGCTTCTTTGGATCAAGGGTCAATCGCGCCACATAATCCGTGGAGATTTGCGAAATCCCAAAAGATCTTTTGCTGTTGTCGAATGGATCCGAAGTAGTAATATCTGCAGTTTCACAATAAAGTAGGACAGGAACGTGAAAACCGCAATGCTCTATCTTCAATAACAACCGAGAAACCTGGTATTTTCAACCAAAATGGGATGCACTGTATACTATACTTAACGTACATGTTTTGAATTGACTCGGCCGTTACTTGATTGATTGATTGATTGATTAATAGCAGAATGATCAGTCAGGGTTCGAAGCCCAAAACACTGCAGCCTTTAGGCCTATTGTATTCCTGATCATGCTGTTAACTTAGGTGAACAGATTCGCTACCTTGATGAGGTTTAGCAGCCTCTTCACCAAATCATTCTTTGAAAATGCCTCTTGAGAGTTTACTGCTCCCAGAAGGTTGTATCTCCAACGCGCTAGTGCTTCGCACTCCAATATTACATGAGTGGCAGTTTCCTCCTCCTCATTGCATAGTCTGCATATGGGTTCGTCTGTATAGATGCCCATTTGATGCATATGTGTCCTCAAGGGGCAGTGACCGGTTATTAGTCCCGTCACTTGTTTGATCTGACTTCTGTTTAGGCTCAGAATGTCGTAAGTCACTGTTTTGGACAGTGTTCCAACCATCAGTTTACTGTGTCTTTGTCCTGGGACATTGTTCCAGTATTCCTGATGTCTTTCTTGCATCCACCTTGCCAGCCAGCCGCGTATTGAGGTTTTGGGGATACCGAACACAGGTTCCGGTCCCATAAACAACGTCGCAGACCCTTGCCTGGCAAGAGCGTCAGCTGCTTCATTGCCTTCAATCCCCTTATGCACCCATTGAAGAGTTACCTTGTTGTGGTTAGCCAGGGTTAGCAGGCTTTAAAGGCAATTCCAGACCAGTTTTGATCTGATTTTATTGCATGTTGAAGATTGAATGGCCGCCTGACTATCTGAGCATATGAAGATTTGTTTACCTCTGTATCCTCTTACAATATTCTCTCTCAGGCATGCCTCAATAGCATACACCTCTGCCTGGAATACTGAAGCATACCTTGATGGAAATCCATGGCAAATGTAAAAACTTCACAAACGAAAAATGTCCACAAAATTCTCAAACGTACAACATGTTTCGCTAACACAGTAGCTTCGTAGGTGATACTGGTACAATGTTAGTTCATGTTATGTAGGTGATACTGGTACAATGACCTAACATTGTACCAGTATATCACCTGACGAAGCTACTGTGTTAGCGAAACATTTCGTGTGTTTGAGAATTTTGTGGAAATTTATCGTTTGTGAAGTTTTAACACTCACTATACAGTTCACTAGTTTACAGAGATCAGTGATTGGGCTTTTGGTAATCTGAGTTGATGAGTGAGTATTTTTTCCAATACTGCTACTATGTTGATTCAGTCTCTCAGTTGTCTTTCTGTGCTCTTTCGGAGCTGGTTCTGGACCAATCAATCGATTTCAGGTGCATATCAGTTTTCATAACCTGGAGAGCTACACTCTTCGACTGTAGGTGGACTTATCTCCGTTCGTTTGATTTCAATGTAGTTTCTACAAAGGCACGTACATATCCAAAGTACGAAGATATGTATTTTCATTGAGGGCGAGATTTAAATATGCCCTCTTGAAAGATGGCGACTGTCCCATTGTCCGAGATAGTATAAGCTCCGTCGAGTCGCTCTCGCTCTCAGAAGGTCTCTAATCCTCCAGAATTCATATTCTACGGCAGAGGCTTGCATATCTCACTGTGACGCATCGTATCTCATCTCTGTATGTCTCGCAGGCCGAAAAAACGTTGGCCGGAACGAATATAAGAATGTTACAAAGGAATCGGAAGGGCATGGATTTATATCGTATACTCCGGGAATAGGGTATTAGGGTCTTAGGATATGGAGAGCACTGTTTGTTTGTGAGAAGGGACAATTCGAGAACCAACAATTGACTGTAACTCCCATAGAAATTTTCAACTTATGTTTGAAAGATTCGCGTGGTCTAAGCTGTGAAAGCTCTACTGACTGAACCTTCCAGGTATTTTCTTTTCGTGGAAGTGCAGTTACGAATATGGAAGCGGAATCTATGGCTATTGCACGATATTGATATATTGTTAACGAGTATGGCACCAAGCTGTCCTGAAAAAGCTGTTTTCCCATTACCTTACCAACTTCTTCATAACACGATTGATGTCTTGAATATATTTGTGGACAGGGTCCAACGCAAGAGTGCCACAGGGCTTCATTCTATCGAAATGGAAACATCAGGAACGCTCTGAATACATTACATGAGCAGTATTTTCAAATGAAACGAACTCATCAGTCCATATTTATTCATCAATGCGTATTCAGCAATGCGTTCCACAAGGATCAATTTTGGTACCAACATTGTTCCTACTTCATATCAATGATCTGTTGAGAGCAACCACTTGTCCTATTCACATCTTTGCAGACGATAGTACTATCCATACTGCATTCTTCTGTAGAATCCCTATTTCTTCTCAGGAAACTAAGAACTCAGGACGAGGGCAGGTCAACGCTGCCAATAAAGATCTTGCCCAGTGTTGCCAACAGCTGATTTCAAAAACGGTTTGATGACTGTTGGAAAAATGACAAATTATGGCAATTTTACTAGCAAAAACTAGAAATCTGACCATGAACTACGATTTTGACATTGAAAATTCATGTCTAGAGTTTAGATCTAGAGCTATTAGACTCTACTGTCTCTAATAGTATTGACGTTGACGTATGACGTGATGTGTTGACGCCATCAACGTCAACGACCAACGTCAATGTTTCTTCGATTCATGCGCATGAC